TAAGAGCACGCAATAATTAACTGAGGCCTAGTTCGTTTACGACGATTAGTATAAAACAAACATCCCTCTGTGGGATCCTGTTCAATACATAAATGTACTAGCGCAACTAATCGGTCAAGACAAACCGTACGGTTGACACTATAACCGTTCCGATGGGTTGTTCAATTCCATCTAGGTTGTGAACCAACGATTCTTGTTTTGCAAGTAACTGATATAGTGATCTTCGGTACGCCCGGTGACGACCCACTTATCTACATGCAAAACAACAGAACTTGGAACTTATTTAACCAAACATAATTCTCATTCATCAAGGAATAACAAGTGTAATATTCACTAAAGCAAAGCTTAAGTATATAACACCAACAAAAAGAAGGCCCACCAGTTCCTCGAGGGATTGAGGAATGACATCCGACTGTTAGTGGCCAGCCATGGTTACCTTGAGTACGCCGAGACTGTTGAGCGAGCTCAGCAGGTTGAGGCGTATATCCAGCGGGATGCCATTGACCAGCAGCCAGCCAGACAGCCAGCACCACCCCAGCCAGCACAGAGAAAAAACAAGAGAAAGTGGGACGATCGTGAGGATAAGAGGAACCGTGGACAGAGGGGCCCAGCTCAGATGGGCCAGCCAGCCCGACAGGATCTGCCGGCCTGCGCTACATGTGGACGTCGGCACCGCGGGGAGTGCCTAGCTGGGCAAAACATATGTTACCATTGCCGCCGCCCAGGACATCTGAGCATGGATTGCCCAGACCGCCCTCAGTCGCAGCAGGGCCAGAGACAGCCAGCCCGGAGACAGCCCGCACAGAGGCAGCCAGCACCGAGACAGCCAGCCCAGAGAACCCCAGGACAGCAGCAGCGTGGAGCACCTGCCCATATTTACGCGCTTGACCAGGACCAGGCTGCAAGGCAGCCAGGTACCATGTCTTGCATGTTATCTTTGTTACATACTCCAGTCTTTGCTTTATTCGATACCGGGGCGACCCATTCATTCGTCTCGGCCAAGTGCTTGTCTGCCTTAGGGGCCCAGGGAGTGAGTACTTTTGACCCTCTCGAGACCAGTCTCGCGTCGGGAAGGAAGATAGTTACGAGTTCCCTGGCCAAGAGCCTTAGCATCGATATCGGAGGCCGAACTCTTGTCGTAGACGCATTTGTGATTGATATGAATGACTTCGATTTAATTCTTGGCATGGATTGGTTGGCGAGATACGGAGCAGACATCCGTTGTCATGACCAGGAGGTGACGCTACATTTATCCGAGGGAGATCACATCACGTTCTTCGGGACAAAGTCTCGAACCCTACCGCGCGTTATTTCTATGGCGAAAGCAACAAAGTACATGCAGAGAGAGGACTGTCAGGAATTTCTTATCAACATTGTTGGGGAATCTTTGGGGAAGCTGTTTTCTGGAGATATACCCATTGTTCGGAAGTTTGTGGATGTTTTTCCCGATCAGCTTCCGGGAGGACCACCTAACCGCCAGGTGGAGTTCACAATCGACTTAGTCCCCGGAGCGGGACCCGTGTCGAAAGCGCCGTATCGCATGGCGCCGAAAGAGCTTCAGGAGTTGAAGGCACATATTCAGGAGCTGTTGAGTCTCGGTTTCATCCGACCAAGCGTCTCACCTTGGGGAGCGCCTGTTCTCTTTGTTAAGAAGAAGGATGGGTCTATGCGTATGTGCATCGACTACCGGGATCTGAACCGGTTGACGGTGAAGAACAAGTATCCGCTTCCCAAAATTGAGGATTTATTCGATCAGCTGAGGGGAGCCAGTGTATTTTCCAAAATCGATCTCCGCTCTGGTTACCATCAGCTAAAAATCAGAGAAGCCGACGTGGCCAAGACAACTTTCTGAACTAGATACGGTCGTTATGAGTTCGTTGTGATGCCGTTTGGTTTGAGCAATGCGCCAGCAGTATTCATGAATCTTATGAATCGTGTCTTCCATCCATTCCTGGACCAGTTTTTCATCGTCTTCATTGATGATATTTTGGTCTATTCCAGTAGCCCGGAGCAGCATGAGGAGCACTTGAGAACCGTTTTGGAGACTCTTCGGCGTGAGAAGTTATACGCCAAGTTCTCGAAGTGCGAATTTTGGCTCGATCGAGTGGCTTTCCTAGGCCACATCGTCACATCAAGAGGAATTGAGTTAGGCCCAAGCAAGATTGAAGCAGTTCGAAATTGGTCGACACCGTGGAATGCCACCGAGGTTCGGAGTTTTCTCGGTTTGGCAGGATATTATAAACGTTTCATCGAGAGGTTTTCAAAGATTGCCTACCCTTGTCCCGTTTGACGAGGAAATCAGTGAAGTTTGAGTGGGATAGTCGTTGTGAGTCGAGCTTCCAGGAGCTCAAAGCGTGGCTTATGATGGCACCCGTGTTGACTATTTCAGACCCCACACAGGGTTTCACTATCTATAGTGACGCCTCGAATCAGGGTTTAGGCTGTGTTTTGATGCAAGACGGCAGGGATGTGGCTTATGCTTCCCGTCAGCTAAAGCCGCACAAGGTGAACTACCCGACTCACGATCTTGAGTTGGCTGCAGTGGTTCACGCTCTGAAGATTTGGAGGCATTATCTGTACGGAGGCCACTGCGAGATTACACAGACCACAAGAGCCTACAGTATATCTTCACGCAGAAGGAGCTCAACATGCGCCAACGACGATGGATGGAGCTAGTGAAGGATTATGACTGCACCATTAACTATCATCCTGGCAAGGCGAACGTAGTTGTCGATGCCCTCAGCTGGAAGAGAAAAGGGTGAACTGACTTGTATGATCACTCAACAGTGTCAGTTGATTCATGAGTTCGCTCGGATGCAGCTAGAAGTGGTCGAATCACCTCCTAAGTTGCCAGTTGTGGGAGGTATTCGAGCGATTAGAATGTGGCCCACGCTACGAGACAGGATCCGATGGGATCAAGCCTTCGATGAGTTCGTTCGCTCGATGGGGGCGAAGATTAATGTCGGAGGAGTTGAGGGCTTTTATCGAGGCAAAGATGATGCCCTGGAGTACAAAGGAAAGATCGTTATGCCAAATGTCGAGGCCCTGAAGAAGGAGAGTCTTGACAGAGGCGCACAACGCTCCATACTTGGCGCACCCTGGTAGCACCAAGATGTATCACGACCTGAAAAGGTCATTTTGGTAGAAGGGGATGAAGCGAGACGTCGTCGAGTTTGTTGAGAAGTGCTTGATTTGCCAGCAGGTGAAAACGGAGCACAAGGTTCCACCGAGTCTCTTACAGCCTTTAGAGATCCCGCAGTGGAAGTGGGAGAAGCTGACCATGGACATTGTCACGGGATTACCGATGTCGGCCAAGCGTCACGACGCGGTATGGGTAGTAGTGGATCGACTGACGAAGTCGGCCCACTTTATGCCTGTCAGGATAGACATGTCCATGGAGCAGCTAGCCGAGACGTATCTCCAGGGAATCGTTCGACTTCACGGCGTTCCTGCCGAGATTATATCAAATAGAGATACTCGATTTACTGGCCATTTTTGGAAGAGTCTTAACGAGTCAATGGGGATGAAGTTGAAGTTTAGCTCGGCTTATCATCCACAAACCGACGGTCAGTCGGAACGAACCATTCAGACGCTTGAGGAAATGCTTCGAGCTTGTGTTCTAGAGCGGGGTGGTTCGTGGGAGGAGTTGTTACCCACTGTGGAGTTTGCCTACAATAACAGCTATCACTCGTCGATCAAGATGGCACCATTTGAAGCTTTGTACGGTCGTAAGTGTCGCTCACCCCTTTACTGGGATGAAGTTTGCGAGAAACAGGTTCTCGGTCCCAAATTGATCGAGGACACGGTGCAGAAGGTAGCCGAGATCCGAGCGAAGCTGAGAGAGGCACATAGCCGACAGAAGGCCTATGCTAAAAAGCGTAGAAGGGAGCTTGAGTTTGAGCAGGGAGACAAAGTGTTTCTGAAGGTCACGCCAATGAAAGGCGTTGTACGCTTTGGGAAGAGGGGGAAGCTGCAGCCCCGATTCATAGGGCCATTCAATATTCTCGAACCAGTAGGCGTAACAGCCTACCGTCTGGCGTTACCCCCAGAGCTCTCGGGTGTGCACAACGTCTTCCATGTGTCGATGTTGAGA